GGGTATTCCGTAGAGAACGAGAGTAAGGAGGAAGAAGAGAAGGGAAAGAGAAAGAGCTATGGTGAAGAAGTTAGTGAAGAGGAAGTTGATCAAAGCCGTCCGTTTGCGTGACTTTCGAGCCGTATGGGCTTTTGGGGTTGATTTGACGGTGGCTGATGAAGATGGAAGTAACGACTTGGCCCATCCTCCGCCACGGCGGGTGTTGCTAAGGTAGGAGGATAAGGGCATTTTTGGGATTTTCTGCTACTTCCTCTGTTTTTTTCTTCTCCAAAACAGAGTACCCTCTGTTCTGATGGGATCTAACTTCTATAAGGATTTTGTTTTTCATTTAAAAAAAAATAACAAAATTACCAACTTGTGGTTTGGTGAAGACTTCATGATCTCAGAAATTTCTGGACATTTGTGAGTTTTTTTTCTTACAAGTGGACCCAACACGAAAATTTGTAATAAAAGTAAAGACAGTGATTCGTGTTATTCCAATGTTATTTTGGGAAACTATTTTATTCCAACCTAACAATCTAGCTGTAAATCACAATACTAATATGAAAGCTAACAAAATATTTAAATAAAAATTTAATATAAAAATAAAATAAATAGTAAAATAGTAAGATATAAAATACTTAATTTTAGATTTTTTAAGAGAAAATCTATTCTAGATTTTTTTTTTTTTTGGAAGAGAGAATTTAACTCTAGATTTTTTTTATTGCCCGTAAATGATTTAGATCCACTAATGAGTGTTTTTCTAAGCCAGGTAATCATTAATCTTAATTACCTATTTAAGATATTTTTAAACTTTATTTTTAAAAAAATTTATATTAATTAATCTTATAATGATATGATATAAAAATGATATAAAAAATAAAAATAACACGATTTAAAATTTTAAAAAAATTATAAATAAATTTAATAAAAATAAAAAATTATATTTTATATTTTCGTATAAACACAAATTATAACATATTATTTTTATATAAAATACGACGCAATAACATAAATTATCAAATCTCAATCTCAACATTCTATTCTACATCATTCTTTTTTCTCTTCCATTCACTACTTTTTCTTTCTCTTTTGCATTCATAAGAAATTTTAATAGATTCATTCTCTCTTTCTCTTAAGTCTCAATTGCTCTCAATTCACTTTTCCTCTCTTCAATCAGACTTGCTAATTTCATTCAAAAACAAATGAACATGGCTACTAACTTGTTTATTTGTACCATTGTTTTGATTAAGAACGATAATAATTCAGATTAGATTTGATTCAATTTTTAAATAATACATAATATTATAAATTTGTAAAATTTGATATAAATATGAATTGATTTTTTTTTTTAAATCATTCTAAACTAAATTTTACTTGTTTGATTTGATTTAGTTTAGCTCAATTTATTAATTTTAAAAATTAAATTTTTTTGTTTTTTATATATTATTTTAATAAAATTTTTAATATATTTATATAAATTTATATATAAAATAATTTTTTATTTTATAAAAATTTAAAATAAGTCAAAACTAATAAAAATATATAATTTGATTCAATTTATTTTTTTTAATTTTTACATCTTAATCTGAAATTCAATCTAAATTTAATATATATATATATATATATTTAATATATAATTTTAATTCAAATTGAATAAAAAAATTTAATCCGAATTAATCCAAACACTACGATTTTAAATTAATTTTCAGTTTTTTCAATTTGTTTTCACTCCTAATTCTGATAATTGTTATTGTTGGAGTTGACAGCTTGGTTTTCCTCAACATTCCAGAAGCTGGTGAGGAACTCATCCATATTCATGGATCCGAAGTTCTTCCCGCCATCACAGCGTGTGAGGGAACTCATCAAGAGTGAAAAGAACAGATTGAAGATTGTCCTTCAAAAGCTAAGAAAGGGTGGTTCTTCTGTCGATAATCCACTACCTGCAATGGTGACTCAACCACACCAATCTCAAACTCTGTAACAACCTTTTTTTTTTTTTTTATGAAAGCTTTGTAAAGCTATGGCTCTCTGATATTGATTGATATGGCAATACCAATTGATTTGTTTGTGAACAACAAGAAGGAAAGTGGATGGAATATTAGGTTTAGAAAAAGAGTCTATATTCTCTAATATAACAAAGAAAGAGAGCATAAAAATATTATTTTAAAATATTAAATTTTCCACTAAACATATCTTTAAAAAAAGAGAGGATAATTGATGGACAAGCATTATAGCTGCTTGTTATAGGTGGGATAATGCTTTTTTTCAAGTAGTGGGTTGATTTGATTTTTTTTTTTTTTTGAATTTTAGTGTTAACTCATGAAAAATTTGTATTGGAGTAAGCAAATCTCAAAAAATGAAAAGGCTTTTTGGCTTCTTAGCCCAAGCATTTGGATTTCCCTCTCGCATAAGTAAAGAGATAGAAGAATGGAATGTAGATTTGATGATTCATATATTTATATTATGTAAAATATTAAAATTTATATATTTATTTTATGTTTTATATAAAAATTATGTATCATAATTTATATTGATATAAAAATATAAAATATTTTTTTTATTTTATTAAATATAGATATAATTATTACTAAAATTTTAAATTATATCATATTTTTATCTTGTATTTATATTAAATTTTTATCATATCATCGAATCGTGTTTTAAATTATCAAATCTAATAAAATATTAACACGATATTAATATGAGGATTAAAATATTTATACAATTAATTTTCTAGAGTTTGAAGAAAAGAAAGTCTATCCACCTCAACCTTTTTTTTTTTTTTCTCTTGTATCAATTCTTAATTCATATTTTTATCATTTTTCATATTCCTTTTTATCTCTAGTTTTTCCTTTCTGTCGATATTAATCATTCCTTTAGTCATTTCTTAACTGCCTTTACTTCTCATTCACTTGTTTTTTCTTTTCTCTTTGCTATGATTACTCTCTCTTTTCTTTTTTACAAAACAAGATATTTTTTTTCATATCATTTCCTTTTTTTTTCTTAATAAAATGCAAAAACTAAGTTAGAATTTTCAAATTTTCTTACCCAAATTTGCAATGTTCTGAATTTTAGATTTTAAGTTTTGATTTAACATTGTTTCTCATCTACCCTCATATTTGTTTTTTTTAAACATAAGAGCTTAGAAAAAGTATCGAAGAACCCAAAACCTTAGCCATTTAGATTTTCAAACAGCTTTTCATCTTTTTTTTCTCTTATATTTTTACTATTTATCTTTGTAGGTGCATGTTTCCAAGATGTACCACCGTAAGGATGTGTTAGTATATGTTTTTTTTTTTCATTTTCATTTTTTTATATTTAAACAAATAACTTGAAATGAATGATTTTTATGTAATATTAAGGAATGATTGTTAAGTTTTATGATATATTTAATTTTTTAATTTACCCCTTAATTGACTTAAAGACCTTTAAAGAAATATCTGATTTTTTTCTTTACTCTTTTGCTGAATTTCTTTTCTTATTATTATTTTTTAAATTGATATGGTTTGCAAACTTTATTTGGAAGCTAAAACTATTAACTACTTGATTTTTGTATTTTTGGTGGAATCAGCTTAAAGAAAATGATGAAACATTAGAAGATTATTTTGATCATGACTGTCCATAACCATTAAAGGTTGCTTCCTAAATTAAATGCAACTTGAATTTTCAATTATGACCGACTTTACTGTTTTCAGCTAACTTATTTATTAATGTTTGAATAATTCAATCCTGATGAGATAATGTAATAAAAAAAGATTAAGGTCCTAATAGATTTATTTTCATGTTTTACATTTTCTAATTTACAAATATATACTGCTTTGGTTAGATATAAAGTTCAAAATTTTGATTGTGTTGAGTTTTAATAATTGTGTTGTGTCTATGCATTTTGGACATATGATCTTATTAGCTTGTCCATATTGAGAAGTGTTATAGTTCTTTTTAAACATATTAAATTTGATCAAATGTAAAAGTTTAAGATTTGGTTAGTTTGATATGAATTTTAGTTAGAACTTTGATTTGGTTAGTTTAATTTTATACGTATATATGTATTATATTAATAAAATTATATTATCTTAATTTAAAAAATTAATATTTTAAATTCAATATGAAGTGTCAATATAAAATCTTTTATAAGTTTTTTTTTTTTAATTTTTTTATTTTTTTCCTTTTCTCCATCTTTTACTTGTTCAAATTTTTTATTTATTCTTTTATTAGGTAAATTTTATGAAAAAAGACCAATTAAGATATTCACATTTTATTTCCAATTTTTGATCTTTTAATTTTTTTATTTTTAATTAAATAAATTTTATAAAAAAAGACAATAAATAAAGATGACAAAATAAAAAATTTTACTTGCAACAAATCAGGGACACTTTTCTAGTTCTATTAAGAGAAATAAATTGAAAACTAACCCTATAAAAAAATAAAGATTTTAAATTACTCTTACATAAAAAAAAAAAACTTCATAAGTAACTATTGAATTTAGATTAATTAGGGACTCCTCTTTTCATTTTTATTTATCTTTATATATTTTGGAATACAATTTTTTTATTGAAAGTTATATTTGTAAGTTAAAGTTACATCTTAATCATATAGTTCCACGAAATTTGATATTATTATTAAATTTAATATAAAGTTTTAATTGTTAAATCAAATAAATTAATATAAAATTAAATCAAATTCATATAAAATTGAATAAAATAAATTAATATAAAATTAAAAATTTTTCTTTGCCATAGAGATAATTTATGAATTTAAGAATTATCTTGATTAAAATATTTTATGACTTAATTTAATTATTTCATACAAACACTTTTAAGAAGTGATATTTAATGAATTTATAATTTTTGTATTTTTTTACTTTATCGTTAGATTGCGACAAATTTTAAATAAAAAAATTTATAAAAATTAAATTATATGATTCAAATTTTAACATTTGTAATTTTTCTATCATTGACTTCTTTTATAAGACAAATTTATAAGTTTTATCAACAATAAATGAAAAAAAAAAATCTTTGGTGGATTAGCTTAAGCTAACTCTTACCACTGTTGGGGTCAAACCACAATCCATGCGTCCAAACAAAACGGCACAAAAAAAGGTATGTACAATGTAGATTACTAGATCTCCACTTTTTTCTTTCGCTCAAAATTTCATAATTTCAGAGCTGATCTCTTGCCTAGCCGTTACCAAACTCCACAATCTTCCTTTCTTTCTATCAGGTACTTGAAATTTCTTATTTTATTCTTTAATTTTCATTCATTTTGCTGTTTCTCAAATGTATTATAATGATCTTCAGATCTGTTTTGTTTATGTTAATTTAAGTTTGATTTAGATTCATAGTTTGTTGGCTGAAGATCTTGATGAAAAGAACCCATTTTCGAATTTTTGAGTCTGGGTTTTTTCTTTTGAGTTTATTATGCTGTAAAGTTAAATGGGTTCTTTTAAAATATGATCTTTTTACTGTTATAATTTCTGGGATTGATTTTGTTTGGTGAGTTTCTCTTAGATTTTTGCATCTTTCCCTATGAATTTTTAGATTTTTTTTTTTGGGGATTATAATTTCTTTCTAGATGAGTATCATTTGTTGCATCTTCAATGTTGCTATGAAGCCAAATTGTGCAGTTTGTTATTAAAGAGAGTTAAATGTTTTAACTTTTAATTCTTGAAAAATATTGTTTGTTTATGTATCAAAAATGTTCTTTTGCTGAAATGAAAAGCAAGTAGCAAAGGAATAATCAAACAGGGCCTTAGTGATTTCTGATTTGGTAGAAATGCTAACAATGTTATATATCAGATTGCTATTGCATGTAAAGAAGTTTGAGAATTACTTTGAATGACTTGGGTGGTGTCAATATAATTGATCAATGTATAATTGATATGACTTTTTATATTGAAATTTAAAGATATAAGAAGCTACCAATTGGAGTTCAAAAGATGCCTGCACAGAAAATTGAGACGGGTCATGAGGACATGGTTCATGATGTCGCCATGGATTATTATGGAAAACGGTTGGCAACTGCTTCGTCTGATACTACCATTAAGATCATTGGTATAACCAGCTCTGGTTCACAGCAACTTGCCGTTCTACATGGCCATAAAGGACCTGTTTGGGAGGTTGCTTGGGCACATCCCAAGTTTGGATCAGTCCTTGCATCCTGTTCTTACGATGGCCAGGTAATAATCTGGAAGGAAGGTAATCCAAATGAGTGGCTGCAGGCTTATGTTTTTAATGATCATAAGTCATCTGTGAACTCCATTGCATGGGCACCCCATGAGCTTGGCCTCTGTTTGGCCTGTGGATCTTCTGATGGGAATATCTCGGTCTTTACCGCTAGTGCTGATGGTGTTTGGGATACTACTAGGATAGACCAAGCTCACCCTGTTGGAGTAACCTCAGTTTCCTGGGCACCATCAACTGCACCAGGTGCTTTAGTCGGATATGGTCTACTGGATCCTGTCCAGAAGCTGGCTTCTGGGGGATGTGACAATACCGTGAAAGTGTGGAAGCTGTATAATGGGACTTGGAAGATGGACTGCTTCCCTGCGCTCCAGATGCACACTGACTGGGTGAGGGATGTTGCTTGGGCACCCAACTTGGGGCTTCCAAAATCCACCATTGCAAGCGCTTCTCAGGATGGCAAAGTTGTTATATGGACTTGCCGTAAAGAAGGGGAACAATGGGAGGGTAAGGTTTTGAAGGATTTCAAGACCCCAGTTTGGAGGGTGTCCTGGTCTCTAACTGGAAACTTATTGTCTGTTGCCGACGGAAATAACAATGTAACATTGTGGAAAGAAGCAGTTGATGGTGAGTGGCAACAAGTAAGTACTGTTGAGCCATGAAGTTCAAAATTTTCTCTCTTAGCTCTCTACAGTCGTTTTACTTGTCAGCTTCAAGTCCGCCAGTCTGTTATCAGTATTTTGCATTGATTTTTGTTTGAATACTTCGATTCCGTTGGATAGTTGTTATTTGTTCTTGTAAAATGCTGAGGTCTAAGAAAGGATGGTTGATTAATCTTATAACATTTCCCTCCAATGAAATTTTATACCTTGTCATATCTTTCTAACCCTATTTTATTTGTTAGAAAGCTTCAATTTCAATACTTTCTATCCTAGTATGCTTTTGTTTCAGATATTTACACTTTAAGCAACCACAGCTTCACTTAAATCGAAGCTTATCAGTCATGGTGTTGTGCTGGGTTAGTTTTATCATGGGTTTCCTATTAAAATGATGGTGCTAGCAAGCTTCTATATTAAACCCCTTGACAGTCCTAGATTCTGATGTTGTGGCGTGTTGGAATGATGCTTTTGCAGAACACCATTCAGCCTCAGCCATCTGGAGCAGGGGGGGTGATCTTTTGATATACTTGGACATTATATTTTTTATTATTTTTATATGAAAGTTCGCAGCTTAAAAATAAAGAAAAAGTTAAAAGTATTAAAATTTAAATTCGAAATATTTTGAATGATATTTCTTAAGAATAATTCAATATATGAACTGAGATAAATTTTGGATTATTGATTTGTTTTGTTTATTGAGAACTATTATGGTTTGCATTAAGAATATAATCGATCAAATTTGAGTGATATAGTATTAAGTTTGAATTTGAGTTAAATTTAAAGTTTAAAACTCGGTTCGAATTCGATCGAATATTTTTTTAATTCAAGTTCGATTCGAAATAAAAATCGAGTTACTCGAGATTGTTTGATTAAATTTGATTAACATGTAAAAATAAATTCGATTTTTAAATTTAATAAAGATTTAATTATTTATATTTAAATTTGAATTCAAATACGAAATATTTTATTAATTAAAATATATTAAAATATAAAAATTTAATTATATTTTTAAATTATTTGAATCAAATATAAAAATATTTGAATTTTACTCATTAATAAATCAAATTATTTAAATTTAAATTCGATTCGATAATAATTTAATAAAATTTAAATTTTATTTAAATCGAATTTAAATAATTTATAAATATTAATAAATTATTTATATTTTAGTTTGCATAAAATTAGGCTTAGGAAAGTTGTTGCAGTTGCACAAACTCCGAAGTCATTGGTGACACCTAATAAAGTTGAATAAGTGGCCTACATTAGTAGATTTAATGTCTTGTTCAAACTACCATTTTAGATGCATTGAGAGGAGATGCCAACTTGGATCTTTATTTCGAAAATGACAGGTGGTTTCCGATCATCATCGAGGATTTCGCCAATATTTTGGCAGCAAAAGGAGAATCCCAAGTCCCGACTCAAGTCTATGTCATGCTATTGTCGCAGTGTTAACATCACGATGAAGTCTTAACCTGAATTATTAAGATCGAATTTAATTCGATTTTTTAAATAATATATAATATTATAAATTTTTAAAATTTAATTTGAATTTAAATTAATTTTTTTAAAATTAATCTCATTTAAATTGAATTTTATTGGTTTTGATTTTATTTGATTTATTAATTTTTTTAATTTAATTTTTTATTTTTATATGTTATTTTAATATAATTTTTAATATATTTAAATAAATTTAAATAAAAAATAATTATTTTATTTTTATAAAATTTTAAAAATATATAAAAATTAATAAAAATATACAATTTCATTCGATCCAAATTTAATATTGTTTTGGCAAAGTTGCAGTTTAGCATAAGGGGGTTGTGGTTCCGAGCCTTTGCTGAGAGAAATCATGAGAGCCACATTCACCATCGCACTTGTTTATTGTCCTACTCTTTGGGAGATGTGATTTAATGAGGGAAGAAGAATATAAGTTTTTTATGAGACTTGCAATTTATTTTGATATGAAAGCTTTCACATTAAGGTAGCGTTTGGTACCTCTTGCAATATAACCATGGTAATGTAATTATCAAGATAATTTTATTATCAAAGTGATATTATCACTAGAAATTTGAAATTATTTTACTTAATTAATAATCATTAATTTTTAAAAATGAATGATTATTGAGTTTGGTATTATTAAAAATCTAATTTTATTTTGTTTAAAAGTACAAAAATAATCATATATATTATAATAGTTACATAAATTAATGATTTTAATGTTGTTTAAAGATAATAACTTGTAAAATATTAGTAATATTTTCTTTATTTTATAATAAAATCTAATTGAATTAAAAAATATATTTTATTGATAGATAAACTAATTTTTATATATAAATTATGTAAAGAAAACATTTGAATAAAAAATAAAACTAATCAATTAAATTTATAAAAAAAATTATCTTATATATAAAATATTAAAAAAGTAAAAATACAAAAAAATTTTAATTGTTTATAATGAATATTAGTTTTAAAATATAAAAAATTATAATATAAAATAATTAAAATTTTAAAATAAAGTAAAATTTTAATTCATATATTAAATGAGTAATATTGATTATTATAAATTTTATAATCGCCTTTACTTTGATGATAAAAGTTTTCAACCTTTTTGGATGAGAAGTAAATTACCTTTCAAGACAGTAATTTTGATCACTCTCGATGATTCAAAATTACCATAATGTAGTATTACCGAATGTTTACTAAATACAGTGATTTAATCATAAAATGTAAATTACCATGGTTATTGGAATGATTACCTTATACCAAATGCTATCAAGAGTGTGTTGGGATGGGATATTTGGAGGAGAAATTTCATTTCAATCAAAGTTTTTTAAAGTCTAAAAATAAATTTATTTATTTGGATAAAAATAAAAGAGGATTTCAAAATTTATGCAAAATTTCAAGATGTGGTTTTTCAAAATTCTTTCCAATTTTTCATTTCTTTATAGCACATGACTCACTATAAAATACAAAATAAAAAAATAAATATAATTTTATTTAACTCTAATATATATATTTTTTATATTATTACTAGTATTTATATATTTTACAAATCTAATGATACCCATATTGCATTTTTATTTATTCATATAGATTTTTTATTTTTAATATCATTATTTTTCTTTTATAATTGTTTTTTATCTTATCAAATTCTAATAAACTAAATTTTTTCTCAGAAATATTATCCAAACAAAATAATTATAAATACTAACATTTTAAAATGCATTCATTTCAAATTTCTCCTATTTTTTGTAAAATTCGTCATTCAAACACACTATAAGGGTTTGGAAAAGGATTTTATTTTAATTAAAATTTTCAAAAGTTCATAAATACAATTACTTGTTTGAGTAAAAACAAAAAAGAATTTCAAATTTTCAGTGGAATTTCAAGAAGAAATTTGATAGTTTCAAATGCCCTTTCGAAATTCCATCTAAATAAATAGTTTTTAAAATTTCTCTAAAATTTCTCTTTCTTTATTGCACAATTGCCCACAATAAAATACAAAACTCAAAAAAAAAAAAATATTTTATTTAACTCTAATATTTTTATTTTTTATATTATTAATAATATCTGTATATTTTTACAAATCTAATGATATTTATATTGCATATTTTATTTTACATATACATATATATTTTTTTATCTTTGATATCATTATTGTTCTTTTTTAATTATTTTTTATCTCACCAAATTTCATTAGACTAAATTTAAAAAAAAAAAATCACCCCAACAAAATTATTACAAATGCTAGGATTTTAAAATGATGTATTTTAAAATACTTTCATTTTGAGTTTCTTCAAAATTTCAAAATTCTTCATCCCAAATGCACTCTAACCTTTTTTTTTTTTTAAATAATATACTTTTAATAGTGACAAATTTTTTATAATTAAAAGATATGTTGTATATATATGTAATTAACGCAAAATAAATGGTCTTTTTCTCAATTTCCAGTTGACCTAACAAAAAATGAATATGGTGCTTCTATTTGCATCCCATAAATACTCTTTAAAATTTTTTTAAAAATTATCTCTAAATAAAATTAATTAATTAGGAATAATTTGATATTATTGCGAGTTTTATATTTTATATTTTTTTAAAATTTTGTTTTGTTTTATCTTCATTTTATTGAAATTAAAAACACGTTTGAAAATTATATTTTTATTGCAAAAACACATAGGAAGTGGTTGAATGCATGATTTACCTTCACTTCCAACAATTTCTAAAATTATTTTTTCAATTTTTGGTTTTCAAAACAAAAACAAACCTTTAAACATAATTTTGTTTCTAGTTTCCAAAAAAATTGAAAACAAAAGCAAAAAACACAAAACAAAACTTCCCCAAACAATCCTTTACATTTTCATTTCAATTTAAAAAGTAGCGAATAAATTATTTAATTTATCAAATTTTCATATATGATAAGTTATTTAATTAATTTTTTAAAAAAGTAATAATATTTGTGTACTTAACATAGTTAAAGAGTTACATTTAGGGTTTAAAGTTTCCAACAAAACCCATCTAATTAATATCATTATGATTTAATAAATATTTATTTATTTTATTTTTTGAGATTCTAACAAATTTCATAAAATTTAGTTGAGAAAAAAAATCCCGTATTATGAAGAATTTCCATAATTTAAGAGAGGGAAATGATTTGATGTTCCCAATGAGATTTTTAAGTCACTTAAATGATGTTTCTAACGAGAGTTCAAAAGCTTTTAAATTTGAGGATTTTAAAAATTTTTTAATTTATATAACCAAAAATTTTTAAAAATTTTAGATTTGTGAATTCAAAAACTTTTAAAAATAAAAAAAGCTTAAAGGTAACTTAAAAAATAATTAAATAATTTTATTTAAAAATAATTTTAAAAAACAGAGATTGAAAAGATTTTTTTTATGTTGCAAATATAAGCTCTTCGAAGTAAAAATCAAAAACTAATTTTTTAAATAGAAAAAGCGTAGCTGCCCAAAATATGATAAATGAAAATTAAAACAAAAAAAAAAGGAGCTCTTAAAACTATTAATTAGAGTTGGCAATGGATCCGGTCGAGAAAAATTTTTCTAATCTCGAACTAAACTTGATTTTATATTCATCAAACTTAAATTCAATCCAACTTGAATTTTTTTTATTTTTTATATCCGAATTCGACTCGACCTGAAATTAATAAAATATTATTTTTAAAATATAATTATATAAATTTATATAAATAAAAAATTAAATAATTAATTAAAAAATAATTTTTTATATAATATTAGATCGAGTCGAGTTTGCCTAAAACCTGAACCTTATCCGACTTCGATTTTTTTTTAGCCTTACTCAACCTGACCCGACTTGAAACTCAATTTAAAAAAAAAATCGATCATATAAGATTGGATCAGGTCGAAATCTTATCAGAGCGAATTAGGTTGTCGACCTTATTATCAACCATTTATGATGAGCATTAACAATTATAACATGATGATTCACATTAATTTATGAAAGATTATTTATTTTAGTTCATTGAATTTCATGATTTTATTTCACAAAACACATTCTATATGTTAAAAGTGATATTAATATTTATATTCTAAAATTGATTTTAATATATAATTGATATGAGATTTACGATTTTTTTTTTATAACTATGATATCTTCTCCTACTCTAAGAAAAGTCCACCTTTTTTATGACATATTCCTAATACCTTAACGTCAGCTCTGATAACAAATATCACTTTCTACTAAGGAATTATCCGTTTGGTCCCATCGAGTCTCACGGTTGTAACTGATGAGACGAATTGCTAAAAGAAAATCTATAGGACGCTTTGATTAGAAGGAGATTCCCGGTTCCTGATCATAACATAACTGAAAACTCAGCATCGAAATACACTTCAAAACATCATATTCGACGCATCCTAATGTCCTTTTCAACCTCCAGCGACCTTCCTAATGTCCTTCTCAACCTCCAACAAACTCTCAACCACCGGATAAAATTTACCTCGACGATTTTATGGAGCTTCATAGATCCCTGAATGGTAGAGTCGTCAAGGTAATTTTTGGTCCAGTGATTGAAGAGTTCATTGGAGGTTGAGAAGGACATTAAGAGATGTCTGAGAAGGACATTAGGAGGTGTTCGAATATGGTGTTGAAACATTTCGAAACGCATTTCAACGCTTAAGTTAATAAGATACATGAAAGAAAGCAAGCGAGAGAGAGTGAGAATACTTAGGGAAGGCAGACAGAGTAGAATTGTGAATCAATCTGGTCTGATTTTATATTGTATATCTTATAGACGACAACTTGACTGGTTGATTTGATAGGTGCTAAACCTGCAGAAAAGAAATTCAAAGTTGCTGCTGCCATCGCGGTTAAGATATAACAAGAGTAAAGAGAGAGGATTGTTTTTATGAAACTCCAGGATTGTGACTGCATAATTTGTCTCATCAGATTCTTTCTACAATCTACTTTATGAACATTGCAAAATTTCACTTGAGGCCGAAATGGTTTGCATTACAAAAAATAACTCTCGATACAAAGAGCTGAAACAATATTCCTCAGCTTCTTTTGTGTCTATTTACACAAAAAATAATCTCTAATGTTGCCTAAAAAGAATGTAGAAATAAATCACAAAGAATCAGATGTAAATCTAGGCAATTCTTGCTTTTGTTTGTTGTTCCTGCTGCTGAGTATAGCCATGATATTTATACAGATCATAAGGTGCCCAAAGGAAATCAACTGAGCAGGGTCTCTCTGCATCTAGCCTTACCCATGGTTTCCCTTTACCACTCCAATGCAGCAAACTTACAGGACCTGGATGCAAAGTTCTACAACTATTCACCAAATTATCTCCACCAAGCCCATGTTGGTTCCATCTATGATCAATGGCCTCAATATTTCCACCAAAAACCAACAAAAATGGAGGAAGAGAACCCAACTCATAAATCCTTTTATCTTTCTGAATTCTCATCCATCTCTCAATCTTCCTTGTGTACTCACCTTCTCTCCACCTTACCAAATCCATCACCATCACACCTGTATTGAAATAACAAGGCCTTTTCCCTTCGAAAACCCCGGATAACTCAGGGTCTGACCAGAACTCACTTGTGAAATACTTGTCAAAGTTTGCATGACAGTACTCTGGAGCTCCAATGGTTCTTGATCCAGTCAAATTTATACTCCATAGCTTTTTGATGTCATCTACAACAATTGTATCAGAATCTAAGTAGATCACACGTTCAATGCAGGCCTCAAGAACATCAGCCAAGTAGCTTCTTGCATAATTTAAAGGGTTGTCGAGAGCTTGGCGGATAGAAGATGAGATGAGATTCTTGACAAGATTTTCCTGGAAGATATAAACCTTGAAACTCAAAGATGGAAATGCAGACTTCACAATCTGGGTAAGGTCATTTGCATGAACCAAGCTCGAATCCGAGGCAATGAAGTGAAAGAACACATTTTCTGGACAAGAACCATGTTTGAGAACTGAATGGACCGCTGCTATGGTACCTCTCAGGTACTCAGGATCAATTGTCATTGCAATATGAACAATGGAAGGGTCACATACCAACCCTTCTTTAGCCAAAACTGGACATTCAGGTCCATTCTGATACTCTGGTGCCTCCATGAACTTCATGAACAAATCAGATTCCATTTCTGTTTCATCCCCACCATTACTTTTAACCTTTTCTGTGAACAACCTAATTGCATTTACAGGGAAAAGAAGCAAAGAAACCAAGCAAATAACCCCTAAAACTGATCTAGATAGAAACATGATATCCAAATATTAAGGCAAAATGAGAAGTGGGTTTTTGTTCTAGTTTCTTATGAACAAAGTCTTGGAGAACAATTGCTCCAAATGAAACTGAAATGAAGGAAATAAAAAGTGTGATTTATTTGAAGACAAGAACTTGGAAGAGTCAACCAAGATTTGGACAAGTCCAAACACGCCTGCTTTTCCAAAGAGGGACGCGGCTACGAACGTGAATGAGAAGTCATGGAAAGTTTTTTCTTTTTGATATCTTGGTTTTTCCAAATTATTTAGTATATTTGTTTGTTCATTGATGGCTTCAAGGAACCTTCTTGCTTGCCTTTTGGTCGGTTTATCCGCCATTGAAAAACGCGTGACCACGTGCTCTGAACAAATTTTTACTGAACTTTTGGTGTTCTCATATATGGGACCACATACCATGAACCAATTCAATTTGTTTTGCATTCCAATGATGGGTTTTGAGTGCCGGTTCATGGTTCATGGTTCACGGTTCATGGATTCTGGTTTAGCCTAATCTTTGTTCTTGAGACAGTAAGGCAATTGGGTTTTTTTTTTTTTTGTTCTTTTTAATTTCCATAGAGAGAGAAGACATTGACAGATTCACAGTCACGTGGACAGCTGTGGATGGCTGCAGGCTTTCAACTTTTTTTTTTCCTTGGCTGTTCTCTTTTGAAAATTCCCATCACATGAGAACAAATTACTTTGATCAATAAATGAAAATAGAAATGTATACTTTTTTATTAAATATTTTATTTTCCTTTTCATTCCAAAGAAAATTTCTCAATCCTTCTGGAATCTAAATTGAGCCGTTTGGCAACCGTGTTGATGGCTATCTAATCTACAGCTGGACGAGTCTAACGAAGGCAGAGCAGACAACAAGAGGAGCATAAAGAGGAGGCCAATTCAACTTGGAAATGCTCAGCTCTGGCTCTATTTGCCTGCCAACCAGCCAAAATGGAAATTTTGCAGGAACAGCTTTAACTATGACAGTGACTCTAAATTTGAGTTCAGACACTCAGAGCTGGATTTGGAAAATTAAAACAATGGAGAAGAATATCTTCCTAAATATTATCGCCTAAAAAAAATTAAGACTTGACTTAAAACGGTTGTGGCTCTTTGCTTAGAAGGTTAAAGCATCCAAAATGTTGTATTTGAGTATCCAATGTGATAAACCCCACAATTTACTTTCGAAAAATCCTTAATCACATTTAAAAAATGATATCAACAAATATAAAATTCAAATCATAACCCCTTCAATCTCTATTCTTATCCACAAACTGTCACCTTTAAGAGGCAACATCGAACAAACCTAAAATTCAAATGCCAGTAACTGCAACTTTTTCTTTTATTTCCAAACTGCATCCTTTTGTATAAAAAAGCCTTGGAACTGTTTATGAATAAATAGTAGTTCCTATCCGATTCAGGTAGGCGACCAATGCAAGTGAAAAGGGAAAAGGAAAAAAGATAAAAGGGAAAAGGAAAAAAGATAAAAGAGCAGTATGATCTATAGCCAAGAATCCTCATCAGCAGTAAGTGAAGGGAATTTTTAATTTTACCAATGAAATTTGCACAAAGCAGCCTAACATGGAGAGATTACAGCAAAGTTTTTATTCTTCTTCAAGAGTTTGGTGGCTAAAGCAAGATGGATTCTCTTTATCGCTCAATTTTCCAGCCTTCCCCACCTTTTTTTTGGCTAAACAAAGAGAAGAAAGAAACTCAAGTGAATATATACTATACCTATAGGAAATGGGGAAGGTGGAAGAGTAGAAATTGTGAGAGATGATACCTTTCATCCTGTTTGATCAACCCATTAACAACAGTAAGCAGTCCGATTGCAAACACAGTTCGGCCCTCCAGTATGATATCTTAACCTGTAAATTCTCAAAACTGTCTACACAATGCATGCATTATACACAACAAGTGCAAAATTATAGATTCATAAATCAGCTCATAATACAAGAGATTCTAAGAATCAGTATATGATAAATCAAAAGACAGAGAAAACCCAAAAGCATACTTTACAAGAAAGATAGAGAAGCAGGTTGAAAACCAAGCAACAATTTACAACTGGATAAAGTGCCAAAATCCTTTTTCACTTTACGCTATGACTTTCCTGCCAAAGATCGAATATGCTTATGAAACACATTAAAAATATACAAAAAAAACAAGGGAAAGAAAAAGAATATGTATTATATAAACTAGAAAGAGAGCAATGAGGAGCACTGAAACAATGGATTGTATGAAAGTATGATAAAATTAAGATCAGCAACCAGAATACTCAGATTCAGATATTGACATCTACTTCTTACAATAACATATGCAGAACATTATGCAAGTAAGAATGCAACTAATCATTGGCTTAGTTCAGTTGTAGGTCACTTCAGTGAACTGTTTCTGCACTGATACAGTCGTATTAAAATAAAAATTGATTACTATTATGTGATACACATTATTAAGATAAGACCCATATGCATTTTATTTGACAAAAATAAAAAATAAAAAACCTCTCCTCCTATGCTCTAGGACTAATTCTACATTAATAGACTAGTCGAAAACTGCAGCTCATGTACCGAAACATTTATTCCCAGTATCATAATATTTCCTACATCCAGGACATCGTCCATCGACTTCAAGAATCCTTTTGTGACAGAAGAGGCAAAGCCGAAATCCACATGAGCAAGGCAGAAAACTAGAGTCTGTGACATCCAAGTCTTCATAGCAGATAGGGCAGGAAGAAGGGTATGACATAGTACTTCGCTGTGCCCAGGTGATAGCCCCACGGCCATTATGCCAATCTGAATTCAGAGTAATATTATCCTGTTTTCTCAGGCTGGGCAGACTTCAAGGACGACAAGCGTCATCAGGTCTCCATGCTTGATAATTCATGTGTAAACCACAAACTGTTTGCCTACTCTCTGAATTTGGCTGATTCATTCCTTGGTTCTTGAACTGTTGGTCAACACCAGCAGATTCAACCCTTGTTTCAGATTTGGCAGAAGCATTTGTAGCTGAGTTATGTTGATTGTTATCTGCACTCAAGGCATCTGCAACATCCTCCCAATTGTCTAGACAAGCATCCTCTTCTTCCTCACTGACACTTCCAGAACAACAATCACTGCTGGTACCACTGCCAGTGCTCCTGCCACTGCAGCTACTCCCACCAAAACTTTCCCTTGAATCATTATCACCCAGATTACTTTGAATGGGGCCATTCATCAAGGACTCCAAATCACTGTCATGGATCCTCATGTCTTTACTCTCCTTTTCCCTCTTTGTTTCCAAATTGTGCAATGATTTGTTTCGGTCATCACCTCGTTTTGTAGAGAATGGAGGAGACCCAGCACTCCCATTCAAATCCATTTTGCATTCCTTATTCTTTATTGCATCACAACCCGACTCTATTTATGAGTATACGAAATTACAAAATCTAGTAATTTTGTAATTTTTGCCAAGCTGATCCCAAAAGCCATCGTATGGAACCTTTTTCTTCCCATAGATAAATCATTTCTTTCAAATAAATATCCTAGATCCCACCTGACCTTGAGTCAAGAACTTTGTGCTTTTATCATAAGCCTCTCCATATGGTTCTTCTATATATCAACGTAGAGCTATGCAGAATATGCATCTATGAATGCTTCAATATTATAAAATTAAAATTCAAAAACATACTAAAAAAAAAAGAAAAAAAAAAACCCTTTTTTTTGCAGTTTTCGTTTATAATATAAGAAAAGAAGAAAATCTCTATAAAATATTCAATTACTTCTATTTGCTCAAGTAATAATAATAATAATAATAAAAGAATTGGCATTTAAATAATTCTCCATTTATTTTTTTTTTAATTCAATCAATATTATTTCTTTACCATTAAAAACTCAACATTCAAAAGAAAATAATATAATTAAAATTAAAATTAAAAAAAAAATTACCTTGCGATAACCATTGTTCACGCCTAACATCGAGCTTAAGCTGCTTCAATTTCGCCAACCTATTTGTCTATATGATCACAAAAAAACAAAAAAAATTAAAAATCTCAAAATATGAAACTAATCCTACATTTTCTGAGAAAAAAAAACGGAAAATGAAGTAAAAATAAAAATGAACTCACCCACTTCTTCTTGGTACGGCAAGGCAGAGAAACGTTGGAGACGAAATCCGATACCATGGTGACTGGTGAGAAGCAACCCGGTGGTTGTAGATGAAAAAGGCTCTGTTTGGCAAAGAGGTTAATAGCGGAACAGGATCAACGACACCGGAATAGAATGAAAACAAACGGCGGCGAAGGATAGGGAGATTTTGGTTCTGCTTCTGCATCTGAGTTCATTGTTTTCTTTCCTTATATGTATACTTACTATAATGCCCTTTGAATCTGACTTTTTTACGAAATCATTTCTAAATTTTTATGATTTTAATTTTATCATTTTATCTAATAATTCATTTCCAAAGTTTTATTAGAATTCAAATTTTGAGAGTTTAATTTAATGAAAAAAAAGGAAGCAATAAAATTAGATGGCTATTGACATGGAAATTTTTAATTGAAATGAGTTAAATATTCCTCAGTGTCAAATAAGAAATTTCATATTGTTCAGAGGGTAATTTAGGAAATATGTAAATTTGATTATTTGATTTGGTTCAAGGCTGGCCATGATGAAAATGGCGTAAGAAAGTAAACAGGCTCTTAAAAATCGCCACGTGTATGTTCCAGATTCCACATGTCTCTCACAGCTCTAACAGAGTTGAGCCGAAACGCCACAAAGATTGAGCCTAGTTTAACAATTGGGCTGAGAATGAGGCGTAAATGGCCCAGCTTTAGGCCGAAGTATCCCGAAATTGGGCTGATAACCCATATAACTTATCATACTTGGGCCAAAAATGCCCCAAATTTGGGCCAAAATGCGACGAACATGGGCCAAAAATGTCACCTATATGTGCTGTTTCACCTAAAATTTTTGTTTGCTTCGTTTTGTCAAATGGTCGATTAACAATTGAGAGTCAGAGAGTGTTAGGGTAAGCAATCCATCAATTAAGTCCTAAAAATAACCCAACCACCTTGATTGAAATCAAATTCAATCGATTTCGAATTTCCATATGAAAATACCCAAATCGATATTGAATTTCAATATAAAAATAATCGAATCAACTAGGTCAAATTTTCGATCGAT